TAACTGGCACAATCATTCGACATTGTATAATTAAGAGAAATAATGCTAGGAAAGTCAGCTACAAAGCCAACCAATTGTACCAAAAATTATGATTACTTGGCTTTCAGTGTCATGAGGTTTCAGAGTGAAACTTGGATGTAGCTCGTAAAACAGTTTCAAGTAATAATAATAATAATAATTATAATTATAATCTTACTGCACAGGACTAATGCTTGCTAACTAGAAATTTCCAAGCACATATACTGAAAAATTGTATTAACTCGAAATACAGATTCTGCGATAAATATCCATAAACTATTGACCATCTTGTATCATGCTACACAGTATTAGCGCCAAGTGAATATAAAACTCGGCATGATAGAATTGGCCAATATCAGCATTGGAAAATATGCAACATATATGGGAAGGAAACTGCAAGAAATTAGTATCACCCATACCCGGTTACAGAGATAGGACCAGTAACAATTTTATCGAACTTTACAATACACACAGACAGAACAATCAAAACTAATCACCCAGACAACTTTTGATCAAAGACCCACAAAAACAGAATCGGCTTTCTTATTGACATGGCCACAGTCCCTGTAGATTATAAGGTATCTTTGTAGATCTTAAAAAAAAAAATCTATCAAAACACAGGGATCTTAAAGTGGTAATCTCAAAAATGTGGTACATGAGGACATCAATAATTCCAGCTGTAGATGGAGTCGTCGGATTGAATGGAAAAGATTCCGATAGAATCATTGATGGGATTCCTGGAAGTCCATGCCTTAAAGAAATAGAAAATATTGTACTCAAAGGTATTTCTCACACATTACGAAAAGATTTATCTATGTAAAATGTGTGTGAACTTGTTTTTTGTCTGTGGGGGGGTGCTATTTCTGACCTTAGGTCTCTGTTTGGGATCCGGAAGGAAATCTGTCTACAACAGAAGTCAAAAGAATGAATATTATTATTATTATTAATAATAATAATAATAATAATAATAATAATGAACACCACCCAGACCCTTTTACGGAGATAGGACCTGTTACAATTCTATGGGACTACACAATGCACACTGACAGAACAAACAAAGCCAACCGCCCAAACATTGTTATTAGAGACGACAAACAAAAAAAAGTGCCTCCTTATTGATATGTCAGTCCCTGCTGACTGCAATGTATCTTTGAAGATATTCCCAAAGCTGTTAAAATACAAGGACCTTGAAATAGAAATCTCAAAAATGTGGCACATGGGAACATCAACAGTCTCTGTTGTAGTTGGAGCCCTAGGGTTGGCTGGAAAAGATTCCACTAAAGTAATTGAAGGGATTCCTGGAAGTTCATGCCTCAAAAAGATACAAAAATTGTTCTCACAAGTACAGCCCACACTTTACGAAGAGCTTTAGCATTGTAATTTTTTTTTTTTTTTTTTTTTTTGTCAGTGGAAAGTGTCATGATGCCATTTCTAACCTTAGGTCCCTGGGCGGGACCCGGAAAGAAATGTGTAAACGCCAGAAATCAAAGAAAATAATAATAATATTTTAGGTAAAATTAGTATATCGGTCCCTTTCAGACGACAGTTATTCTCTGAAGAAGAAAATGTTTTCAAATTTGACTCGTTATGATTTATATTTAAACAAATATCATGTAGTCGAAAAAAAAACCCTGTCTTTTATAGCATTATGGATTTTTCTCATGAATAGTCAATAACCATTTGAACATAATAAATAGACGAGTCATTTATTATAAAAAAAACATAGAGAAGATTGAATTACATTGTCTAATTTATACATAGGCATGTCACTGCCACTTTATCCCGTCGACCAACATCGCAGTAAGGTCCATGCTCATTGACAAACATAGAGGGATAAATACGGACGTTTCTCGACTAGTTTAAGCCAAATATTTGTCGATAATACCTGTATATTATACTATGTTTGTCATAAAAAGAAAAAATGTTTCTGGTAGCTAGCTTCTTTTTTTTGTGACATTGAGTAGTTTATTTACAAAAATATTTTCTTTAGCGCATTCTGCTTTGGTAATTTAGTACTCGATATGTTTTGTTAGGCATAATTATATTTGTTATTATATATATATATATATATATATATATATATATATATATATATATATATATATATATATATATATATTGAGGCATGTTTCATTAAATAATATAGACAAGTTTTGTCTATTTATTTCATGCAAATTCTTTTCTTATCGTCTGATAAGCTTAATAACATTATCTTTGAAAGACGAAAGAAAATCACCATATTGATACATGTTTTTTTAATCCTATATAAGCTTTGGGCTTACATAAGCCATTATCAAAAGTGACAATAACATTACAATATATTAAACAATACACGGACATTGCAATAATGATAATCTGTTTTTGTTTGCATGGAAGATTTCCAAGCAACAACAAACTGTAACTAAGATCTGCACAGCATAGTTGCAGTATAAACCACAGAGCAGACGTCTGCAATAGGGACTGGCTAGCCACCCCAGTAGATAGGTTTCCTCGAATACGAATGGTCAGCTAATATATATATATATATATATATATATATATATATATATATATATATATATATAAGGTGTATTTCGTCAGTAATAATTTTAAAAATATGTTTGGTTAAATAATATTGATAAGTTCTCTCAATCAATTTTTGATAAGATTTTTAGGAATCTTTACCGAAATAGTTGTTTATGTTATCGCTAAATTTGCCAGAGTTCATTTTTATTTTATATGATTTTCTTCCCGAGTACTTTCGAATGTTGATCCATTCGTTTTCAAGGATTGTTCTGTGTATTTTTACGAAACTGTCCTTTTTTATTATTCTAGCATTCTCACGTTTAATAGAACCAATTTGAAGTCATTCAAGGTGACGTCATTCAAACGGTCAACCTGGAAATTTGATGCGTATTTCCCCTATGTAGATAGATAACTTATTCAACTCTGGATGCTTCCCTTTTATTACAACAGCCATCAGAATTTGGAGCCGTTCTTTGTGTCCTATATAAAATAAAACCTTGCAACGCTTCATAGATTATTTTTTTACGTGTCCTATCTACACTATAGGTAGTAACTACCTATAAGTAGCTGTAAATCAACGGACTACAGAGTCTAGCTGGGATCTATTGAGTACGACTCAGACTTACGCGAGAACTACCGACCTTCCTATAGTAGCACTCACTACTGAATTGACTTGCGACGACCTTGAGTATAACTGTTACCTTTTTTCTTATTGTACTGGTTTTTTACAATAAACCTTTACTTATTTTATCCACCTTGCTTTTCAAGTATATATTCCTATTAGCACGGAATATAACACTATCGTAAACAAATATTTTCAAACTGTAAAAAGATAAAGAATCAATGGTTCACTATCGAGGAAAAGATATCCAAAATATATATCTAACCGGTGTATTTGCATTATTTACATTATTCGGACTGTTAACCTCATCTTCATTGCCATATTCACTACGTTTCGGCCGTTGTACGTTCCGGCCTTCTTCAGCTGATTGGAATTTCGAATCGAACCCTTTATTTCGTCTACCGGGGTAGATTGTTCTAGTTCCATGCGCTATGCCTCTTCTGGATCTCTGTTATTTCCCTTTACCTCAACTCCCCAAGTTTTGGTTCATCACTGCTGTGGCCTGACACATGTCACAGTTGATTAGATCCAGTGATTAAATTCAAACAGTTGTGACTTCAATACGAGGCTACAGAAGTGGTGAAACAAAAACATGGAGAGTTGAGATAAAGGGAAATAACTGAGACATTCAAAATAGGCATCGCACGTGGAGCTAGAACAGTCTACACTGGTGGACGAAATAAAGGGTTCGATTCGAAATTCCAATCACCTGAAGAAGCAGGTACAACGGCCGAAACGTAGTGAATATGGCAATGAAGATGAGGATAACAGTCCGAATAATGTAAATAATGCAAGTAATCATAATACCTCATCGCAGAGATATAGACAGATATAACAGGTGTAATAAAATGCTATGGATTGCATCCCTGATGTTAATCATATTGTACAGCCTATCAGGATTGTTTGTTTTTATTGATCTAATCTAATAAAACCTTGAGATAATGAGATATCTGAGCCTAGTGTTATCATCACAGAATATTTATTGGCTTTAGCAAATACGATTACCAATTTCTCAGACGTTGGCATAACTGTGAAGTTATTTGGTGAAACAAAATGGTAGAATTAGATGAAAGCATTCCAGCTTCCCCTCTCAAGGCCGGTGTATTTATTCATATTTGGGATATAAACGATGAACAAAAATACAACATTCACAACCAATTTTTCGGAATAGTAGAAATTACAATGAACCTTTCCAAAACTGAAACTATGATCTGGAATTGGAATGAAATCAGTGATGGCACCTACACTGAATCCATCATAAAAAAATTCTGGACGTAGAATTAATAAATACTAAACACTTCAAATACCTCGGTGTCTGGATCAGTTATAACAAATTTAATATAAGAGATAAAGAAAGAGATAAATTAATGTCATCTTGAACGGCCACTCTTCTAGATCTTCTTACATTGATGCACCCCAGGTATCTATCCTTGGACTTTGTTTCTAATTTTAATCAACGACCTTCACGTTGTCATCAATACTTAACACGGTATGCATACTGAGGTCACAACTATTTACTCCTGTTTTAAGAGTAAGTCAGATAGGTTCGATGAGGTCAAATTAGCAGCTGGTCTGAAAAGAAAAATAAACGACAAAAAATAACCGACAATTTGTTGTTAACCGGAGCAAGAAACGGCTTATTAATTTTAACGCTTCCAAAACGAGACAGCTCTCTTTTAATAGTCTAAAAGAGCCATTTTTTGGCCGAGCATCATTATAAGCTCCAGGAGAGTGGCTCATTGGGCCTCCTTAAGCTAACGAATCAATTGCTAGGTCTCCTGATAGGATGGTTGGTTCACGGTGTCGTGCAAGTCAATTTCTCCCGCATCTATATAAGTCTACTATTTGTCCGGATTTACGGCCAAATCACGTCGAAACGCCGGTTCCCGTACGATCACCGATATAACCAATGTCGAGCCTGGTCAGTAATTAGATGGGTAACCGTTTGGGAATATCAGGTGCTGTAAACTTGGTTGTGAGGGTGGTGCAATGGATAATGGCTCAAAATTGTTAATCGGAGAGCCGGGTTCCAATTACAGTCGGTTTCCTTATATTCAATTACGCGCAAATACCCTTGATAAAAATATGAATCAACGTGTTCCCCCAAGCTATGGGTTAATTAGTAAAATTTATATCTTTATTATGTTAAAATAAAATTTATAACCTATAATTATTTTCTGGCTTTAAATAACCAGAAAAGGGTTGATAAACCGTAGAAAACGAATCAACTTTTTATCCATGCATTGAATATTACTTGGTCATATGGTCTGGTGCTTCTGCTATATAGCTAGAGATTCTTGATAATAGAATCTGCATTGTTATCGGTCCTGATCTGTCATCTCAACTTCGGTACCTTTCCCACTGCTGTAACATAGCTCCTCTGTACATTTTCTATAAATATTTTCGTGATAATTGTTTCGATGAACTTTTTCCTTTCGTACCTCCATGTTATGAATTTAAGCGCATTACTAGATTGGAAGCTAGGTCTCATCCTTTTTACAGTTGAAATGCCTAGATGGAACCGTAAGTTCTATGATAACAGTTTCTTCTCGTGCATTTCTCTCTTGTAAAACACACTTCCGGCTTCTTGCTTCCCAATGTCAATCGTTATCTTCTGTCTCTTTTTACTATCCTTAATGTTTTTTTTTTTCTCAAACTTTTTCACTCTCAGTAAATTCTTGAGTTTTAGTGGCTTTATTGCCTTATTTTGGAATGAAATGTTCAAAAAATTAATGCCTAAACATTTACGCAATGTTATAGATAAAGAATCAATGACTCATATGTCGAGGAAAAGATATCCAAAATGAGATTCTGGCACTTCGAGCCAGTCCCAGAAGGCGGCAAATTTGAACAAATACAAACTCAACCAAATAGAATTCAATTATTCTGGCCTGCGCACCTGGTGTCAGACATTTTGAACAACTGTCGATGATTGTAGGTTTTGTTGATGGTATCAAAGCATTAGATAATGAAGTCTCCTAACCTGACGTTATCGCAGGAGAACATTGCTCCATTAAAGGAGGAGACAGATGCTTTGATGACAAAAACTCTTTTTGAAAAGCTTAAGTAAATGGGATTACTATTAGAAAATTGGTAAGGCCTGAGTTATAAACAGAAATTATCTCGTAGACTGCAGATGCGTTGAGAGTTTTCTACAAGTTTTGAGAAATATTTAAAAAATGCAAAGGAACACCAGACATTACCAAACATTTTCTAAAAGAAAACGATAAATAAACATATATATGTATGTTCGTGTGTGTGTATATATATATATATATATATATATATATATATATATATATATATATATATATATATATTATGAATGGGCAAATTCGACAATTATTTTAAGACATTTTATGTCTATAAAAAGAATGTATAAACATAAAAATGTCTTAAAATAATTGTCGGACTTTGTCCATTTCATTATGTGTGACGTCATTTGTTTACATTTGGATACGCTTTGAGCAGATATGAATGTACGTGAGAGATTCATGGAAGATTGAAGCTTAAAGGCAGTAAATTCGACCTTGCAAATCGAACGATTCTCTGTGACTCGATCGGTTAAGAGCATGTCAGGCTAAATGACGGTTCCGTATAGAACACAGGTTCGATTTCTGCCGGAGGACGAATATTTTCTATGAAAATTTCTCGAACATTCAGGCTGGTAAATGTTATAAACACTGTTTATTATAAAACAGAGCATTTACTTAAATATTTGTATCTCTAAAAAGAATGTATGAAAATGTCTTTATATATATATATATATACTTCCTAAGTGATTGTCTAGGTATGAGAGAACTTGACCTTTTTCTTTTTTCATAGGAGTGTTCCTTCCAGGTTTGTCCTTGTTCATCTTCAGAGTCTATATTACTCTCGATTTCACTGTCTAGTTCGTCTTGGCCTTGACATGACACTTTCACCCTCATTACATTCATATTCACTATACATTTCTTCATCGCTATCATGTTGCAATCTAACTTGTTCTTACAACCAGCAGTTGCCAACAAGAACTCCATTATTTGGTTTTCTTCTCTGATTAATTTTGAATCCTGTGATTCACCCTCTTCCATAACAGTAACTGAGGTCCTCTCTCTTCCCGAAACTGTAACTGTTATCGTTCTATTCTAGAAACTGTAACTGTTCGGTCTCTTCCAGAAACTGTAACAGGTTCACTCTCTTCCAGAAACCGTAACACTGTTTTGCTCTCTTCCAGAAAATGCAACAGAGGTTCGCTCTCTTCTAGAAACTGTAACTGAGATCCGCTCTCTTCCAGAAACTGTAACCTAGGTCCCCTCTCTTCCAGAAACGGTAACTGTTATTCACTCTCTTCCAGAGACTGTAACTGAGGTCCGCTCTCTTCCAGAAACTGTAACAGGTTCGCTCTCTTACAGAAAAAGTAGCACTGTTTCACTCTCTTCCAGAAACTGTAACTGGGGTCTGCTCTCTTCCAAAGACTGTAACTGATATTCGCACTCTTCCAGAAAGTGTAAGCGAGGTCTGCTCTCTTCTAGAAACTGTAACAGTGGTCCGTTCTCTTCCAGAAACTGTAACAGTGGTTCGCTCTCTTCCAGAAACTGTAACTGTGGTCCGGTCTCTTCCAGAAACTGTAACTGAATTCCGCTCTCTTCCAGAAACTTTAACTGAGATCCGGTCACTTCTAGAAGCTGTAACTGAGGTTCGCTCTCTTCCAAAAACTGTAACTGTGGTTCGCTCTCTTCCAGAAACTGTAACTGAGGTCTGCTCACTTCCAGAGACTGTAATTGAGATCCGGTCACTTCCAGAAACTGTAGGTTCGTTCTCTTCCAGAAGCTGTAACTGAGATCTGCTCTCTTCCAGAAACTGTAACTGAGGTCGCACAAACTTTGCTCGAGCAAGCCCCTGCAACAGGGATTGGCTAGCCGCCCTAGTAAACAGGCATCCAAGGATATAAGCGGTCAGTTTTAATCTTATAAACAAACGCTGAATTAAGCATACAGTGATATTTTTACCCATAAAGCATCTGCTAAACTCGGATATGTTCGGTAGTGTTCGGGGATGGATTGGTACTTCCTTCTTCCAAGTTATAACATAACGTGCAAGGGAACCTCGAGGCGGGGTAATGGTTAGAAAGCTTGTCTTGCTAGATTAGTTACGACTGAGTAGTGAATTCGATCCTCACTGGGTGCCCCATACTTTCGGCCTTGTGCCATGTCTAAGCTACGCTTTGAATATCACTGGGCACCTCGGCGTGGTGTAATGGTTAGCAAGCTGGTCTCGCTAGAACATTTATGACTTAATTGTGAGTTCGATCCTCACTGGGTGTTTCATACTTTCGGCCTTGTGCCACATCTAAGTTAGGCTTGGAAAGTCACTATAACATCACGTGCAACCAAGGGGTTAAACATTATATTGTCTAGGAATGCTTAAGCTGTAATTTGTGCTTGGGCTTAATCCTCACGTTGGCCGGTTCAGTTGTATTTCAATCAAATAAGAAGCGATCAAATAATTTAATCCTTAAATTTGTTCAGTGGCTAATCAGTCAATAAATCTTCTTAGAGTGATTATGTTTTTTTCTTGTTTTGTTTTTTTTGTTGTTGTTGTTGTTGTTTTTAATGCGAAGGTCGATATCCAAGCAGACACGTTACAAATCTAAAGAGAGATATGCAAATCATTGGATGCCGGTTTATGTATTAATAAGCTTAGATGCAGTCACGAGCGAACGCACAGACACGCGAATATGTATGATTTACTATGGAAATAAAAAATATGCAGTCTTACATTGCGAGCTTCCCTATCTGTCTATATGCAAGATAGTCTCTCTCTCTCTCTCTCTCTCTCTCTCTCTCTCTCTCACACACACACACACACACACACACACACACACACACACACACACACACACACCCCCACCCCATCTATCTATCTATCTATCTATCTATCTATCTATCTATCAGATACACGCTCACATTTTCCCGGTCTCCAGGTTGAGATCAAAGACACGCGAATATATATGATTTACTATGGAAATAAAACAAATATGCTGTCTTACATTCCGAGCTGAAAGGTTTCCCTGTCTATAAGCAACTAGTATAAAGTGAAGCTTAGCAAGCTAGTCTCTCTCCCTCTCTCTCTCACTCCCGCTCTCTCCCACTCTCTCTCTCTCTCTCTCTCTCTCTCTCTCTCTCTCTCTCTAAATATATATATATATATGTATATCAGATACATATTCACATTTTCCTGGTCTCCTGGTTCAGATCAGAGTGTAGTATACATCCCCTCCTATATAAGTTACATTCACAGGGCAATAGGGTTTCTAGGGGATCTATCTCATCAGTTTTTCTCTCAACTCAGAATTAAACAGAAGCTTTTTTTCCCCTCTTATCCTCAATCTATGACATTCTTATTCAGTTCTGCAGTGTCATTTGTCTAAAATCTTCACTGTCGTTAATTTTTAAAATAAATAAGAAAACTTCATTTTCCGTTTATGTTTTTTCCAAAACATCAGCTCCTAAATTTTTTATTTAAACGAAAATCAAATACAAGAACCTTGAGATTGAGATTAACAGGATGTGGTAAATGAAGAATCAGACTGTACCAATAGTAATCGAAGCTCTGGGCCTCGTGAGAAGTGTTAGGGTTAGACAATTTTACAATAGACATTTTTACTAACAGTGTCCCAGGTAACATTAACATACAAGTTGCCCAGAAGATCGCCCTGCTGTATTGCTGGTAATATCGTTTTTTTCCAAAATGTATTGCTGGTAATATTTTTTTACAAAGTATTTCTGGTTTGGTCTGGTTTGTTTTGTTTTACGGCATATCAACCTCAATGGGTTATTTAATGCCAACAAGATTTTTATTGCCGGTAAGATTTTTTTTGAAAAATGTATTGCTGGTAAGATTTTTTTCGAAAAATGTATTGCTGGTAAGATTTTTTTCGAAAAATGTATTGCTGGTAAGATTTTTTTCGAAAAATGTATTGCTG